TTCCGAAAGGGGGCGCTGGGTAAAGTGATGTTGGACTGAGACCCTGTACCCTACCCAGCTCCATGTACCTGTGTTGGGATTGGGGAACAAGGGAGGAGAGACATGCACCTAGCACTGGTGCTGCCTAGGGAGCCTTCTGCAGCTGTCCTTTTCTTCCTTCGGCAGTAGCCCAAGGGCTTCTATTTTCCATAATTGCAAGAATGCGTCTCCTCTTGCCTAGGTGGGGTGGCAGTAGGGTAGATGTTTCTTCTGCTACCCTGGATGGAACTGTGGATATTCCAGACCATTTCCCTCCTTATATGTGTGGCTGCAGACCTCATCACTAGGGAATTCTGGTTTCCTCTGTTAAAAGATCCAAACTTCTAATAAAAATCCAAAATCAAACGCCAAAATATATAGCTATTTTGAAATACGTGGATTTTGAAAATCCACATTTTTTCACAATATTAAAATGAAACACCACTGTATTTATGGGTATCAGTTAAACACAGAGCTCCCTCTGCCCCCTTCCCTCACCAGGATGCAGGTCCAGCTGTGGCTCTTCCCACTGCTGCTTTGTGGTGCTGAGAAACCCTGATATGCCCTGATAACCCAAGCCCCCCATCCCCATTAGTGCCCCCCAGTGTGTGGGTCTGGGGGAGTTGGGGCAGGAAAGGTGACTGACCATAAGCAGTGCTATAGGTGACGTGGGGACATGAGCCCCCCCCCCCTGGTTTCTGCGCCCACAGTGGAGAACAGGGCTGCAGCCTGGCCAGACCAGCACCAGGCATGGGCTGCCTTCATGGCCCAACAGGCAGAGCCTGGTATGGGAAGGTGGCATGGGTCGGCGAGACTCATTGTTGCCACCACGAGCCCTGTGCCAGCTGCGCCACCATGGTGAGGTGCCCATTGCCTGCCCCTGCAGTTGGGGGACACAAGCTGTGCCCACTGTGGCAGGGGGCATCCTACCAGCTGTTGTGGGGCTTGTGACAGCGGTAGCAGTAAGTCTCACCACCCTGCTCTGTCCTGTGCTGGGTCCCAACCTCTGGGCTGCAGGGGTATGTAGCTCCTGCCTAGTGCTAGTCCAGCCAGGCTACAGCCCCATGCCCCACTGTGGGTGCCAAAATTTGGGGTACATGCCCTCCTCCCCATGCCCTCCAATGCATTACCTCTGGCACCTGAGCACACAGCAGTGGGGAGCTGCCTCCCCCAGCAGCACCACCAGCCCCAGCTACCAACCCTGGCCCACTCCCTCCCTCAACGTGTGGGTGCAGTGTGAGCTGCTGCCTCCATCTTGCCACAAGTTGTGCCCCCCTACCCCCATAGACTTGCTTGAAGACAGCTGCTGGAACTGCTCTCCATCACACTGTCTGAGACTGTATTGTTGGCCTCTTGCACATCGCTCTTCTCCCACTACCCCCAGCCCCAAGCAACTCCTTGCAGGCTGGAACTCTGCCAGCTTGCAAGAGCAAACCCATGGGGTTCCTGCATTTTTCTCCTTTAAAGGGAAAATGTGTGATTTTCTCTTCTAAAGGGGAAAGTTTGCATTTTTTCCGCAGCAAATGAGAAGCCCAGTTCTGTGCTCATCACCTGCTTTGGGCCCCAGTAGCCACATTGTTTCACTGCCCCTAAATCCTGAATTTCAGCTGAGGCAAGGTCTAATAGTGCTGAATAGGCCTTTGGATGGCTAAGGCCTAATTGGAAACAAAGCACTGTATCCATATAGGAGTCCTGTTATGTTTGGACCATTGCCACCTGTGGGATGGGGCTGTCCTCCCCTTCTGTGAATGAGCAGAGGATGCCCTTTGAGGGCCCTTGGGAAGTGTAGAAGAGCATGAGTTCTATTCCTATGTTGGGAATTGTGCTGTCTATGCACAACTGTTTGGGCTTCATGTCCTTGCTATGTGGCCAAAGGCCTGTTGGTCCTGAGGCTGGAGCAGGGTCACAGCTTTTCCTGAGACAAAAATGGAAGGTTTTAAGTTGTTTTTTTTTAAATAAAATTTTAGCCCAGCCTTGGGCTTGCTACTCTGGTTTAACATTAAACTGGACTCTGTTCTTTCACTGCTGGTTTGTTCATTATCCCAGGTGCAGTGTTACAACCGACCAGAGGCAGAAGGCACAAGGGTATGGAGGGGAAAAGGTGGGCATAGATCTTCTGTTCAGAAGCCCCAACATCACCAATGAGAGCTGCAGTTTCACCCTGGCATAAGGCACTGGTTTGGTGCAGGCATGGCACATCCTGGCAGTCCTCCCACGTTGGTCTGCTCTTTATCCTCAATAGAACTGTAGTGGCTGCAGAGCGAGAGGGATGCTGCTGCTGAAGATCCCTTTCCAGCTGTGGTGGATGAATCTGCTCTTGTGACTTCTAGTGCTTCAGTTAGGTGGTGCAACCTATGCCCCTGCCCTGGAGCAGTCTGGGATGCCAACCCTCCCAAGGCTGCAGTCAAACACACTCTCCTCCCAGGCTTTTATTTCCACATCACTGATTTAAACATTTATAAAAATATTTACAAATAAGAACCATTAAAAGTAGGCTGGTGTAAGAGACCTTCCTGTCTGCAATGGCATTAGGGCCCTGGCCGTGCTGCTGGCACATGGGCCTTCTGGCTGCACATACGGAGGAGGGGCAAACACTGTTAATGTAAACATGTGATAAACTAGCTCTTCCCTGGGTCCTGCCTAGAGATGAAGTGAACAAATTGTAACACCACTGGGGAGGTCCTACCAGTCTTCAGGATTTCAAGGAATGGCTATAGACTGGGGAGAAAGGGGGAGGGGAGCACAAAAGGTCAAGGTTACCCCTTAGAGCAGTGACTCTGCAGCTGCTGCTTGCCTCAGTGTTGTGGCAAGCCTGCTCACAGTGGCACACAACCTGGGTACCTGAACCTGCAGGTGTGCTAGGGCTGTGGTGCATAGGAAGGCTATGCAGGAGCTGCCACAGCTGGGCAGTCAGGAATGAGCCTGCCCTACCCCAGGAGCTGATTGTGGGACCTGTGACTCCCACCTGGGCATCTGTGCCCATCGATAGGTCTAACTCTTCCTTCCCCCTCCCTTCATGTGCCAGGTAAATGGACTCCAGCATCTCTGCCCCCCTCCTCCCCCAGTGCAGCATAGACTTCAGTTTCCATGCGTGTGGAGGTCTCAGGGAAGAGGGTTGTTAAGAGCACATCCCCTTCTCTTCCACCCGGTGGAATGGAGGAGGGGAAGCTGCAAAGCCCACAGCTGCACTGGGAAAGGCCTCATAGGCTGACAGCTAAGGTTGAACACAGCAGGAGGGAAGTGAGTAGGTTCTGACCAATGCTTCTAGATCTGCTTGTAATGGGATGGAGCTATACAAATTCCTTCTATGGGCAAGATAAAGCCTGGGGAACTCAACTTAGCTCAGAGGTTTCTATACCTGCCCCATGTAAGTGTACTTCCCTCGGGCTACTGAAGACTGGGTGAAGATCATCTCTTCACTTGTGTATCTACAGAACTAGTTACACATTTCTGACACAAGGTAGCAGAGCTAAGACCTGCCAAGGCACTATGTGGCAGAGGGCTGCAGGAGATGCAGCATCCCCTTGGGTGGGCAGAACTGCTATTGCCTTGACTAGGTCTGAAGGTCTCATCTGATCTGAAATTTGTTGCGCTGTCTTCAGGCAGTACTTGTCTCCTGCTCTAAGCCCAGCCTGCCTATTCCAATGGAAATCCTCCCCGCCATTCCAAAAGAGCAGCAACTTCATGAAACTTCTGGTTTGCAGTTAGCAGAGAACCTGCTCCAGCATGAACCAGCAGCTGCTTTGCTGCAGATCAGGACACTGCTGGACCTGATCTGATCTACAGTGTTTGGACATCACTTTTATAGAACACCTGATCCATTACATGACTGACATTCTTCATTCACTGCCAAAATTTTGCATGGCCTTTTCTCCCCTCTGAACCTGGTTCTCACAATCTGATTTCCCTGGCTGATCAGGACACTTCAAACAGCAGGTTCCATCAGCTAAGGAGGAAGCCATGGTCAAGAGGAAATATCCTCAGTTTTTCCATGTTAATTAAGCAAACCATGCCAGGACCCTGGCAGCCTGCTGCTCTGCACCTAATGCATTTCACATCATCCCCACTACAAAGCAAAGTGCCTTGGAAAGTGCTAACTTATGTCAGAACCAATTTCTAGTTGCTGAGAACTTGCAAACTAATTAACTGATTTTCTTACAACTCCTCCAGAAATTCAGACTTTGCTCTGAGATGATGAGCTGAAAAATGGGACATTTTGCTGCAGTTTTCATGCAGAACAAGCACTATCAATGAGCACAAAATGGAGCACTATTTTTCCTCAGTCCTGTATGGACCCCATTTCATGGTCAGTACAGTTGGAGTGTTTGCTGGGCCTTGGTTCTCCCCTGGTCAAGGAACAGACCACAGATTGGACAGGGTATAAGTCAGACAGACCTGCTGCTGGCTGGGACCCTGGGTGACCGCTCCAGGTGCAAGCCTTGTCCAGGGTTTGCCTGCTGTGCAACCTATTCTACACACAGCTTTGGACTGCAAGAGGTGAATTAGCTGGAGCCAGTGGGTTGTGATGGGCATCACTTGGAGTTCAGCACCTTGTGGTTCGGGGAAAGCAAGGAGGCAGGGCGGAGAATCCAGACACGGTGAATTCTTGGCATGAACGATGTAGGGTTGCCAACCCTTCCGGATTGGCTGGGGGACAACTGAAATTGGCATCGATCTCCCGGTGACTATTGAAAGCAATCCAGGAGATTGATATTGTGAACAGGTTGAACAGTACAATTAATGACTAGAGGAGCACCGATACATCAGTCCCATATTGGATCAGCACCGATATAAGGAAAATTGACAGTATCAGCAATTGGCTTTCTTTGGCTGATGTGGCTGATCTTGTCGCTGATAAATGCCCCATGCATGCACGCAGCTGCAGCGCAGCACGCAGGCAGCCAGGAGCACAGCACGGCAGTGTGGAGAGCAGCCGGGTCCGAATGGTAAATCTGTTGTGAAGGACAGCGTGTCGAAAAGAGTGTGGAGAAGGGAGGCGCAGATCGAGGCCCCTGCAGTAAGGGAGGGAGTAGGGCTAAGGCAGGGACAGGCGCTGCAGAGCCGGGGAGGGGGACTCCTTCCAAATTGTTATTGGGCCCACCTTGGCTCAGTGACAAAGCTGAGTCCCTCATCTGCATTATTTCACATGACTAGTTGTTGACCTTCCCTGTAGCCCCAGGGTACCACTCCCAGTCCCCTGCCAGCACATCTCTGCGGCATCTCAGTCCCAGAGCCTGGGGGCACGGCAGGACAGGGAAGACACCAACAGCTCCCTTGTGCTGGGAGGCATGGCAGTACTCTCCCCCTGACTCTGCCTGAGTCTTCTGACCCCTCCCCAGCCTGTGGCACATGCTCTGCCCTTTTGTCTCAGGCTGGTGAGCAAGCTGTCAGGAAACATATTAAACATCAAGAGGGGACACTTCACAACAAACAGCAAGGACAACAATGTCTCTTGCTGGGGGGCCTTAGGGACTGCTCCAGTTTGGGTCATGAACTGCCCTCACTGAAGATAATGGCCAAAGTCCAGGTGAGATCAGAGGATGCAGGAGCAGATCTCCCATTCAGCTGCTCCTGCCCCAGCCTGCTGTGGGTCCCCAGCTGCTCCAGTCCTGCAGCAGGCAGGACAGCAGCTCAGCCTACAGGGGTGGGGGACTAGAGCAACACACCACAACCAAGTAGGGAGAGGAGAATGGGCCCATGCAGGTTTGAGCTGAGCCTGGGGCCCTGACCCAGCATGAAACTGCCACTTTGAAGGGTCAGCTACAGGATCAGGGCAGGAGAGCAGGGCTGGATGCTATGGCCCTCTCAGATGGAAAGAAGCTGGAGGCAGGCAGTCACCAGACAGAATGTAAAAATAGTAAAGGGCCAGAAGTCACAGATCTGAGCAGCTGATGTCCACGATCTGTAGCTGTAGACACCATTGTCTGTTCTGTTACCATGCTGGAACTCCATGCTGTTATCCAAGCCAACTTCCCCAGACAG